ATTCTCTCAGAATAAAGATATTCTATCTTTTAAATAAGACTGAAGACATACAAAAGCATAAATGAAACAGACTTATTTCTCGCAGTCTTCTATATATTTCTGCATGTTTGAAAGCTGTAACAGTAAGTGCTATTGAATGGTGGGGTGGGGGTTTAGAAGGAAATCAGAGAAGGTTTTTGAGAACTAAAAAACAAATTTATATTAAAAGAACATGACTCATGCCAGGCAAACAGTAAACCAAAGAGCAGCTAAGCAAGAGAAGAAAGTAGCAATTATTTCATATGAAAGGCACCAGCATTTAAGGAGGAAGAATTCATATCAAGAATAAAGACAAAGATGTCAAAAGAAAGCTTCTAAATATCAGGAATACGGAAGGACTTTTAAAGCACTATTCAGAGTCAATATGATGGAGACTAAAGTAGACAAGAGCTTGAAAGTATCACATTATGCAACTGGGCAAGTCTGAGTACGTAAAAACGCAGTAATTAAGACAGATAATGTATATTGATAAATTTAAAAGAAACAATGGTCATGAAAATCGGGAAGGTCGTGAAAATGTGTCATAATAGAAGCAACATAAGGTAAAAGACTACAGTATTTCTTTACAAAGGAAAATGAAAGCAAACTACTACACCTAGAATTCACCATCTACTAAATCACCTAGAATGGTCTACTGGGTGAGGCAGTGGCCTTGGGTCTGAAAATCTCTGGGCATTCTTGCTTAGTGTGCCATCCTAAGCACAGCTTTCAGCTCCTGATGAGGGAACTTTCCTTGTTAAGTCTACAGACAACAGAGAAGCTGCCTTGAGAGGGCAAATAAACAAGCATCGTTGTTTGCTACAATGTTATCTGCTTCCTACAAAATAAAGAGATAAATAGTAAGTGCTAAGCTAGGACTCTTGTTGACTCAGATGTGACGCTAACTCAGTGCTGTGTCTCTCTAATATTCATTAACCTCATAGGACTTTGAACAAGGAAAAGTACTCAAATATGCTGTGTTCCTGTTACTTGGCGCAACTATGAGTAAATGTCATTTGTTCTAACTTAGGAGTCCTCTGTTTTCTGCCAACAACCATGAAACATTAACAGACTAATTAATTCACTAGTTTATGAAAACAGTAGTTACTTCTATATGCCAGACTCTATATCAGTGGTTCTCAATCTTCCTAATGTTGAAACATTTTAATACAATTTCTCACATTGTGGTGACTCCCAACTATAAAATTATTTCATTGCTACTTCATAACTAATTTTGCTACTGTTCTAAATCATATTGTAGACAGGCAGTGGTGGCACATACCTTTAATTCCTGCACTTAGAAAGCAGAGGCATGCAAAAATAAATAAGTAAATAAATATCTGATATGGGAGGCCTGAGCTGTTCAGGACAACTGGGAACAGAGGAAGGAGGGAACACTGATTGGGAGGGAAAAAAGATTAATTGATTAACTAATAAAACAATTAAAAGTTTTAAAAATAGAAAAAAAGATGGATCAGTGGTTAAGAGTATTTGATGCTCTTTCAAGGACCAGAGTTCAGTTCCCAGCACTCTCACCAAGTGGCTAACAACCATCTGAAACCAAAGCTTCTGGTACCCTTGAGGAACAGCACACATACAGCGTACGTACATACAAAAAGAAAAGAGGCTTTTTTTTTTTTTTTTTTTGTTTTCCGAGACAGGGTTTCTCTGTGGCTTTGGAGCCTGTCCTGGAACTAGCTCTTGTAGACCAGGCTGGTCCCGAACTCACGGAGATCCTCCTGCCTCTGCCTCCCGAGTGCTGGGATTAAAGGCGTGCGCCACCATCAGCCTGCTAAGAGGCATTTTTTTTACATTGTAAACAGAACAACCTAAATATAAACCTAGATGACATTAAGCCCATTTCTTGTTGTTTTGTAGTGCTAGAGATGGAACCAGAGCCTTCAGGACAAATATTCTAGACCAAGTGCTCTACCACTGAGCTACATCCCAGCTCTCTAACTCCATTTTAGATTTCAAGCCTCTTTCCTTAGTTGATTTATCAGGAGCAACTTTAATTTTCCAGATATAAAAGTACGCAGACCTCTATAGTACAAATACCTCAAATTATATTTCAGAAAAAAACTTACTGTAGTAAATTATTTAAAAAAAATATTTTGTGGCCAAAGATCAAAAATAACTAGGATTAAAAAAAAATCTAAGCTACTGTCTTTACTGAAGAGTGTCTCTGTGTTAGTATTTAGACATAATCCAAGAACTCCTATTGTTGGCATTCTAGTATATAGTTTGAGAAACTTCTGCTGCAATTAACACTGCCAATTTAAATTGTACGTATTCTTTTAAATCTTTTAAATCTTAGTAGTCAGCTTGTTGTAGGTACGTACCTGAGCTTTCAAAATAGAGACCATTAAAGCCAGAATGTAGTTTGGCAGCTGCAAGACAAGTTAACTACTTAACCATTTGCACATGGCTCTTTTCCTATCAAGCACAACTCAATTTCCCATAACACAGTGAAAGTCATGCTTAATTTTTTTTTCTGAAATTAAAGGGGTACCAAGACTTTGTAGCTGTATTTTATCTACTGTTATGGATCTTTTTAACAATGGAGAGGAAGGAAGAAGGGGGAAAAACAACTTCTATAGCCAGGAATGATGGTGTGTGCTTGTTATCATAGTAGGAAGCAGAGGACAGACCTGAGGGTGTTGTATTCAGCTGTAAAGAAACTACAGCATTCACAAGAAACAGGGAAACAGGTGGAACTGGGGGTTAATGTGTTAAGTGAAATAAGCCAGATTCAGAGAGAAAAATACATAGTTTCTCTTAAAAGGGGACTCTAGATTTAAATTTATACATACATGTATACATACATTTATGTAGGATGTGACGTACAAAAAGAACTTATAAAATTTACTAATTAATTCCAGGCCAAGGCTGATTCTTGTGATTGTCATTGTAAAGTGTTTTAAGAACTAGCTGATTATGACCTTGGGAGTGGTCCTGAGAAGCAGGGGATTGCCCCCTTGTAATCTTCACTGGTATTTTCGGAATTTTCTGTGACACACTCCCTGCCAATTCCGGATCACTGGGCTGTGGTTTCTTCCCTTAAAAATCGTTTCTCCCGGTCACTAGGGATCGAACTCTCCCCCTGCGTGGGTTATGAGTCTCGGCCCCAGTGCACTGGTTCCCGTCTCATCTCCATCATTAAAGCCTCGTGTGATTGCAAAGAAAAAAATTACTAATTAATACACATATAAAGACAGTAGGTCACTGATGGTCCCAGGCATCACCACCATGGAGAGGGGGTTTTAGCTCTTGAACAGGAGCACAGCCCAGCATTGCTCATCACTACACGTAGTTCCCTATCCCCTGACCTAACCATCTCTTAACACACAACAACCAAAGTTGCTAAAACATTCTAGAGTTTCAAAACAAGGCCTGAGCTAAAAAAGCAGCCATAAAATAGTCGTGTTCGTCATATAAACTGGGTTTCCAGATTGATAACTAGCTACAAAGTCTACTCAGAATATGAAATTCAGTTGTACCTATGCCGTGTTCCCAGACGGTTATATAACAGGAAGTCATTCTCAGCAAGCCAAGAGTTGTCCCAGAGACAAACTTGCTATGGAACTGGACAAGTGAAAGAATTAAAATGCAAATGTAGACCACGATAAAATTCTCTAATGCACCTGCTTATAAAGGAAAAAATATTTGGAAAAAATATCACCTGGCCATGTTAGAGCAATAAGCTCAAATGATGTGAGACTCTTACCAAAGAAAAATGAAAAATCAGTTATGGTACGATCCACTCTCCCACAATCCTTGGCAATTGTCAACAGGCACTTGATAGAAAGGCTTGGGTGACAACACACATGCAAACAGACAGGAAAGGTGACATACTGGACCAGCTGTACAAGTCCATAAACTATGTCACGCATCATCAACAATATGCACAAATGCTTTTCTTCTGTCCCTCAGTAAATAGGTTTCACTAAATTTTCTGAAATTCATAATGAAAACACAAACACAACATAGCAAATATTGCCAACACTGATATTTGCAACAGTCCTCTCCAACGACACCATTAGAATACACGAAAGGGGAAAAAGTACAGAAATCCTGACAAAGAAAATACAGGGCACGTTTCACTCATTTAAATACAGTTAGAAGTTTATACACTTGAGAGATAAGATTGTATTAAATGAAAACTAATTTATTTTCAAAAAACTTATTTCTAACAAAATGCTCAACTCCCACCAAAATACACACGCGCGCGCGCGCGCGCACACACACACACACACAAAGTAGGAGCAGGTTTTTTCCAACAAACGAACACTTTAATACTAACATAATGGAAAAGGGCAAAATGACAAGGCTAAGTAGAAAGGAGGCACGTTCGTTCCCCACCACGGCTCTTCTCTATGGGTCCACGGCCCCTAAAAGCCCAGCTGCATCTCACTCTACAGTGTGGACCCCCACGCCACTCGATGACGCCTAGCGCCTCCCTGACAGGTCGGTGCACGCAGCCCCGCCGCCGGTGGAAACCCCACGACAATGTCTCCTGAGTGTCTCAGTCAGGAAAGAAGGAAACGACACGACAGGAGGAGAAACAGAGACCCGGGCAAGTTGGGGAGTTCGGGGAAGGGGATTTGGTGGGGAGCAGGCCGTCGGGTGCGGCCAGGGGCTGGAAGAGAGGTGGGCCGGGAGGGAAGGGTCTCGCGGGGGCGGGGGTAGGGAGCAGCCCGTGCTCCCCGAGGTGACCCGGAGGTGGCTGCGTGGTCCCGCCGGGGTGGGGGGCAGCCGGTGCGTGGTCCCGCCCGGGTGGGGGGCAGCCGGTGCGTGGTTCCGCCGGGTGGCCCGGAGGTGGCTACGTGGTCCCGCCGGAGTTGGAGGGCAGCCCGAGCTCCCCGGAGGTGGCTGCGTGGCCCCGCAGAGTGGCCCGGCCCGTGATCCCCGGGGTAGCCCGGACTGTGCTCCCCTGGGTGGCTGCGTGGTCCCGCCGGGTGGCCCGGGGCCCGCGTACTCACCACCTGGTAGCGGCCAGTCCCCAGCTGGTGGTGATCCATCCTGCCCGCCTCGGGGTCCGGCTTCCGAGCGGGCGTGTCCCCTCGGCGCTCAGCTCCTTCGGCCTCTCCCCCGGTCGACGACGTCGTCGCCGCAGAGCCCCTTCCGCCGCCCCGGGTTCCGCCGCCGCGGTCGCCCGGCGGGGCCGCTTCACTTCCTGTCGCTCCCTCGGCTACCGCCGAGACCTCCGCGTCGCTCGCCGATCGGCGCCGCAGCTCCGGGGAGCCGCGCGAGCTACTGAGCATGCTCGGGTTGGACGCGCATGCTCTCTGGCTCCGCCGCCGCCGTTCCATCCGCGTCCCGGCTGCGAAGGTGTCCCTAGGTGGGAGGAGACGAAAAAGTCGGGCAAGTCCCGGGGAGCCCTCTAGGACGTCAACCTGTCGGGAGTGGGCGGTGGCAAAAGGAAGAAAAAAAAAAGAGAGAGAGAGAGAGAGAGAGAGAGAGAGAGAGAGAGAGAGAGAGAGAGAGAGAGAGAGAGAGAGAGAGAGAGAAAAGAGAGAGAGACAATCGTCCCACTTGATTGGCGTTTTGGGTGAGGGCAGGTTTCACTGTGGGACGAGCCAATGCACCGTCACTGCGGAGAGGAACGAACGTTCAGGCGGTGCATTCCTAGAGCACTCGAGGACAGATCGCCCTTTTGATAGTCCCAAGCCTAGAACATCTCAGAGATCCATCTTCAGGGCAGTCATAAAACGCTTGTTCAAATCACTAATGAGGTAATGGGTTACCAAATATATGTACGTTTTATATATATGCACATACGTATTGTGTGTATTTATAATGTATGTTATATATACATAATCAGCTTTAAAGCCACAGTAAAATTTCGAGGAAAGGAAAAGACCCTTATTCTCACTCTGCTTACGCATAGCCTTCCTCACCTCATTTGTACCAAATGTTGAGCCCACGATAACATACCTTAACACCTTATCACATCGGGGTTCATTTTCAGTAGTGTACGTTCTAGGGGTTCTGACAAATAGGCCATAACAATGCACCATTATGGTTCACACCGTGTAGTTTCACTGCCCTGAAAATCCTGTATCGGACTTTACCTGCCTCTTTCTTTTGCCTCCAGAAGCCTCTTTAGACATATCCTATACCTTAAAGAGAAAAAGGTCTTCAGAAATAGGAAATGGGAAGAAATTGAAGTGAGGTAGGATTTTTGCGGTAACTCTCAGGTGTTACTAAAATTTGATAATGGTGAGGAAGCACGTTTTGTGGGCCGTCATAATAACCAGCGGGTAGCCACACATGACCTATTATGTTTGTGAATAAGACGGAACAGTGTACCAGGCTTTTTCTTTTACAGCACCAACCGGCTCCCAAATCATGACACCAAGATTTATTAGTTATGAATGCTCAGCCTAGCTTAGGCTCATTTCTGGCTAGCTCTTTATATTAGCCTGTTTCTTTTTATCTACCTTTTGCCGTGGGGCTTCTTACTTTCCTTCTGTCTATCTTGCTTTCACTGCTTCCTCCAGTGTCTGGCTGGATGGTGACTGCCTGGTTTCTGGCCTCAGGAATGTCCCTGACTTTCTCCCTCAGTCTCTTTTCTTTTCTCTCAGTCCTCTTTTCTCTCTCCAGCCTCAATTTCTCCTCCTGTTTATTCTCTCTGTCTGCCAGTCCTGCCTATCCTTCCTCTACCTAGCTATTGGCTGCTTGGCTTTTTATTAGACCAATCAGGTGCCTTAGGCAGGCAAGGTGAAACAAATGTAATACATTCTTACTAAATTAAATACACATCCTTACATAATTAAACAAATGCAACACATCTTTGCCTGGTTAAAATATTACTCCACCACAACAGGACATGTTTCTCTCACAAGATAAAAGATAACATAAAAGAGTACAGCGGACCATCAAAAGGTACCTTTTAATCAAAACATCTGCTTATTGTACCCTAAGAACTATAGCACCACCTGATCTGGCCCAGGTATCCTCTTTAAGACAACCAAGCCCTTTGTCCATAAATCATCTTACTTGGGATCCCTTGAAGGGGACAGGGGAGAAACCTGTAAAACTCTCACTTTAGTTCCATGTATGTACTTTACTTTCATGTATGTATAGAGGACAATTCTGAAATCAAGGAAGCCAGCAGAGGATCCTGGATAACTGGTTCAGCTAGCAAGACACAATGAAGTTCAATAATCTTTGGGTAGTCCTTAACTAAAAAAGTTAAGCCTTCCTGATACTTTTATTTTTCAAGTCATTTATCAGATCTCTGTTTGAGCCATCTTAAAATTTCTAATATCAACATTGCCTGTCTAACAATAATACAAAGCACTGGTATTGCCCCTACCTAGATTTCTTTAAACTTGCTTTCATATGCTCCAATGTAATATATTTTAGATTCTAAGATAATAAGCATGCCATTTCATTGATATTATTAGTGTAAATGCTAACTCCCCCTTACAATATCACCCTGAATAGAATTACCTCTCATGACACCTAATGATAGCAAAGAAACATTAGATTCCTGTAGAACTTATCTCTAAAGATAATTTAGAAATGATTTTTGTGTCTTTTTATTTCCATTAGCCACTTAGGTTCACTTGTTTTTAAATTTATTACTTCTGAAAAAAAAGAGTCATTGACAATGAGAGATCTGACTCAAAGCAGACACCCTGAATCCTGTTTGTGTATCAAGTATTTCATTTTACTGCTGCCCAGGTTCTCGAAATGTGTTTCCAGTTTCACAGATGACATAATTCAATAACACAATACATTTTCAGTGAGGAAGGATAGGAGAACAGCGAAAACAAATCAGCAGCACACAGCACTGAAATCTCCTGAGTCTAGTCCCTATGTGTGTGTTATTTTTCTGTTTGCTTCCACCCCACTCTTTGGTGTAGGTAGGCATGACAGAAAGAGAAACTAAGGGACAGAGAGACTGAGCAATTTTCTAATGCTAAAGTCACCAGCAAGTGGTGACAGGCACCAGAACCTCCACAAGGTTAGGAACTATGCTAAATATTACACTATAGGCAAAGGAACTAGTCCTCGTCTCCTCCCCTTCCTGGCAATCTCCACCGCGGCACTTGTGCAGAAAAGAGGAAATAATGGAACAGCACAAATAGCTGATCTGAATTCCCTCGGTCCTACCTTTATCGTCCACACGAAATCGTGATGCTTTCTCATCATCTACAGAAGAGGCATCCTGATCACATTTCCCATGTCCACTAACCTATGACCACAACACAACAAGATGCCCACAAGTCCCTCTGGGAGCCACTCCTTGGGGGATGAAATGGAAATTCTCTTAAGAGATCTGAAACAAATGGCAGTATTCTCCAGAGGTCTTAAACAATATCTGGTAATATTTCCAACACTTGATCTTTTAACATTGACTCCAGATACCTAGAAAGAAAGAAAGAAAGAAAGAAAGAGAGAGAGAGAGAGAGAGAGAGAGAGAGAGAGAAAGAAAGAAAGAAAGAAAGAAAGAAAGAAAGAAAGAAAGAAAGAAAAAAAGAAAGAAACAACTGCTGACAATTCCCTACTTACTCTGAGCTACCTCAAGCAGAGCTGTAGGATTTTGCTGTAGTTGGCTAACACTTCCTGCTAACCTAATCAAATTCCATCTCCAAATACAAATACAACCACCCATACCTTTACAAGTGCTGCACGCCATCCTTGGTAGAACATCTGCCCCAGATTCTCTTACAGGAAAGTTCAGTCTGCTCAGCTGTAAGGAATGTGGGCTGCCAGCATCTTTGAAGTTTTAATCCTGAAGTGATGCTCTTTTCTGGACAGCATCCAGCCATTCACTGATGAGGCAGCTGGACTATGCCTAAGTTGTTCTTTTGTAACACCAGATCTCTTTAAGCTAATCTCACCAAACGGTTGAGCAGGACTTCATCAAATATGCCTCATGTGACAGCTCCGCTCCTGTCTAATCCCCTTTTCCTCTCAGACTTACTATTTCTTGGCACCCACTCTTAATTTTGTGTCCACATCTGCTTTCTGGAAAGCCTAACCTAGGCAAGTACCAAGACGTAAAATGATAGACGATAATTGATACTATCAAATTTGTGTGAAAATAACTATAACTATCATTTTGTGTGGCTAGTTTTTCATGTCCACTATGATTTTCAGTACTCTTCATTAGCATTTTCTCATTTAGATGCGTGTCTTCAGCCTTCTCTCCTTAAGAACAACTTTGTTGTTATTTTATAGAGCAATCACATGAGGTCATAGCCAACTGTTTGCGACGTGTTGTTATTTTATAGAGCAATCACATGAGGTCATAGCCAACTGTTTGCGACGTGCTTTTCCCTGAACTGCTCCCACCTTCCCGGAGGCGGAGCCATTCCCTCTAGGAGGAACTGCTTTCATTTGCCATAAGCTGCTTATACAGACAGCGAATTCTTCATTTATGATTCCCAAAAGTTCAAGAGCAGTAGAGATGCTGTTGCCCACAGAGAGCCACAGGTCTAAATCACAACTTGGCAAGGGATTCAGCTTCTAGAGATTTCTAGTTTTGTGTTACTCCTTCCACACTGTATACCATGTAAATATATGTTATCCTCAAAGTAGCTTCTAGGTTTTGGTAGTTAGTGAGACAAGTGAATCCTGACAAATCCTGACTGTTGAAGGAATATATGTGACTTGGAACATTAATCTATAGAATGACTGGAAAGAAGTCAATTACCTTCTCCTGGAGACTTCTGTCTATATCTCACCAAAATCCACTGTCATCTTCTGAACTTTAATATCCTAAAATATACTTCAGAGCATTCAGAAATCTGCATTTCACTTTAGTAAATGAGAACCAGCACATTTACCAGTCCAAACTTTTCAACATTACTATATATATTTGCCCTTAAAGCAGTTGTAGGCTTAAACTCAGTTTAGCATCATATTGTGTTCTTTATTTAGCTGGTTATGAGATTCCTGTCATCTGTTCAGTTCCATAATTTTAGAGAGAAAATGTAAAGTTAGCTATTTGACGATGTGGCACATGCTGTTTTCCTCTCTCCTCATTCTATCCCAGGAGAAAGGAAACTCTAGGTGAAGCTAGTCTTCCATCCATCAGAATTCACCTGCAGAAAGAGCAGGAAATACGTGCTAGGAATGTATTGAGGAGAGGGCTTGAGAGAACACCGAAAAGGGTGGATTTTGGATTTGTTGTTTTTGTTTGTTTGTTTGTTAGCTTTGTTTGTTTTGAGGGAAGTTATCTGCGGTTTTTGTTTTCTAGATTATGCAGGTAACGGGCTCCAAAGCTCTCCATCTCTGGCAGGAGCTAAAGGTTCCATCTTAGGCAGAAAAATATCTTAAGGAAACCCAGCTCTGCTTTCTAAATACACTTAGGTGATCACATCAGCTCCACACAGATTATAGAGGATAACCGTCACTTAAGTCAGCT